TTTTGTTGTCTACTTTGAAAGGTGCTACCAATAAATTGGTTGTCTACTTTAGGAAGCACCGAATGCTTTTATATACTTATGATGCATTATGATACAGATTTGTTTGGGCTTTAGCACATTCTCTCAATTCAGGCAAACTACTTTCTTTAATGATCCTGAAACTAGGAATTACATTATCCTTAACAAAAGCAATTAAATAAATTACTCATCTAAATCCGTAGCAATTAATTTGTTACCATAAACTTAGAATAATTTTGAAATAAACAGTTCACTATAATAAAATAATCTTTAAATTCACAATGAAATTACTAAAAAATGAAAAAAATCATGAAATTTTTTGACTGTGAATAAAAATACATCTCCTTTAGTAGCATGCACGGGTGCCTACGAGGATTATTTACATTTTGGAATTTACAATATAATGTAATATATACTATTTTAAATAAGATATAAAACCATTAGGGAAAATAAATCTTTCTCAATAAGCTACGGATATATTTAAAAATTATCCAGATGAAATCTTTAAAACTTAAAAAAAATAAAAAACAAATATTTTCTAAAACTCATATCTCTTAATCTAACAGGTATTGGAAAAACCAGATGGTTATAAAAATATGAGGGAAAAAAAAATATTGACATTCCAAAAATAAAACAAGTTTATGACACTAATTACGCTTTAGTTTTACAATATCCCTTATGCCTATAAATCTGGGGCAGCATGTAGCATACATATCATCTGGCTTATAATAGCATATTTCAACAATATGTTGCTACACTGCAGCATAAGTTTACTGTACCTGCCAGAGAGAGTGATCATCGGCATATCTATCCACGACGAGGGTAGCTAGACTATGCGTTTGTCGGCTTGCTAGTACTTCACTTGCTCTCTCACTACTCATCTGATTACGTATTGATTTCTGCCTGCACTATACACTACTACTGTAGTGTTCCGAATGGCTAATAACTGTGACTCGTCAACGAGTAACTTGAGCATACGTCGACAAGAGGTGGGTATGTCTTTATCACATGCAGACCTAATGAAAGCTGTTAACGCAATACTTTTCCCTTTCAATATGTTTTAAGAGTGTAATGCACGAGAAGTGCGGAGTGATTTTATCGTTATTCATTACACATAAACAAATTGTTTTGACACAATTGAAGCAATGGATTATGCTAATGTCTTTGTGATTTTTTAAGGGAAATAAATTAAAATTATAATAACAATGTAATTACATCAATTATATAAAATAATGGCCCTCAGGATAAATGCTGATTCATTTTATTGTTATTCACTGCATTACACATACAGTAAATTATTTTGACATCAACATAGAGATGTCTAAGTACATTATTCTAATGCTCTGTGATATTTAAGTGAAATAAATTAAGCAAAGTATAAGTATAGACTAATGTTAATTATATATTTATAACATTTATAGCTTTTAGCATTTGAAATTATGGCTCAGCATTTTATAATTACTATAATGAGTTGTTTTGATTCATAAAAAATTATTTTGACATCAATGAGATATATTTCATTATGTAAATGTCTTTGTGACGTTTACGTAAAGGTATTATCAATACCAATGTTAATTATATCCAATACTCTATTGTTACACTGAACGAAAGTTCATATTTTCCATCAGAAGTCAAATAAAATTGATAAACAGTAATTCTAGTATCTGTTGTCTAGAAAAATATTCAGTGAGAGTAAAACATTAAAGGTCATTGAGAAATTAAAATATATTAGCATGAAATATACAGCCATAAATGTATCGTAATCACTAGGAAGGTTACACTAATAAAACCAGGGTAATGTCACATTCAAATATATCAAGAGTTCAAAAAGTCAATAACAGACTACCACAAGAAATTTATCAAACAGAAAGTATATGGGATACTGTATTCCTAGTATCTTATTTATTTTCTTATTTTTTTCACATCCAACAACACATACACTCACCACTTACAAGATACAATGATGTTTTATAAACTAAGTCTCTTTATAAGGTTTAGAGAATGGAGCTGATTTTTCGTTGTGATGAAATATAAAAAAAATCCCTGTAGTGACAAGGTTTGAACCCTAGACTCTGGATTGGAAACCAAGTATTTTAACAAACTAAGCAACCAGTGGTCGCTGTAGAAATTTGCCAACAGGGGCTCGACATGTCCGACGGAACCGTTGAGGGGTAATAAGAGCCTCAGTCAGGGGATCAGAATAAAAAGTCCCTGGTAGGTTCACAGGAAGAGTTCTATGGCTTAGTATGGCCCAATTTTTATTTTTAGACTATAATATAGGCATTGTCAATCAAAATAACCTTATTTGGGTAGATATATTATTTATTGGTCCGACAACCTTGCCGTGGCGTCAAATGACAGGGGGTACACGCCTGTCCGAGGGAAAAATGACTTCCCTTCCCTCCCGCCAGCACCATCATTGCTAATGACACACCTGAAAAGCGTGTACTGATTACCGGTGAAACTGTGCTGACATCTTCAAGTAAGTCTCAAAGTGCTGCTTCTTTATTACTAACTACTACTAAATCCTTTCCGAGCCACTGGGGTTCATAAGGCTGGAGCTTATCCCCAGTTTCTATAGTGTGAAGCGGATGAGAGTTGTACTCCCCCTGGACGGGATACTAGTCCATCACAGGTTAGTCCCCAGCAGTTTGCTGGTACCCATTGATACAGCTGGGTGGACTGAAGCAATGTAGCTAAAGTGCCTTGCCCAAGGACACAAGCAAATCTGCACAGCAGACACTGGAAACCCTGACCTTACGATTGAAAGTCCGAACCTAAACCGCTGCGGAAAACTGCCGCTGTCTTTATTACCCATCCACTATTATTGTTGTTTAAACCGACGTTCCGCAAACTATAATCCACAGCCCAAATTTGGGCCGCGAAACATTTTTGGAGGGCTGCGAAGCCGTCTGGAAATTGAGGTTTCATCATGGATGAAGATTTTAATAAAGCCGCTTCATTGTTACAGCAAATGCGTCGCTTGCACAGCCTGCTAAAGTGCCAGATAATGTGTGCTATTTGAGTTATAAGGGGTTTTTGTGTCTATGGCCCCTCGGGAGCTAGACACTATGTTATCGTCTAGTATAAACTCCAAGATCCAGTAAAATCCGGTATGGAGGAATGATGGGATGAGTCATGAGCTAAAGATAAAAATAAATATAAGACCTGTCCTAGAAAGACCACTACAGTAAACAACACTACACATTTCTTGATAACCGAATGCACATGTGGATACTTTATTACTAAACATAATACCTGTATAGTAAGGTAGTCTTTCAAAGTTGCGGAGTAACAGAGTGTGCGTAAAAGTTTTTGGAAGAAGGAGAAAGCTAATGACGTGTGTGGCTGAACCGTGTTTGGTTGAATCATGGTAGAAAAATAACCAATCAACAATTGCGGGGAGGGGGAACACAAATGTACGGTATTATTTATTTAATAAAATAATATTTAATTTGAATACAATGAAATTTTATCACTGAGACAAGAGATAATGATGTCAAAATATTATACATATGAAGGCTTCATGATCAAAAGTTTTTGCCTGGATTTGGCATGGTGGTCCCTGGCGCGGCTGGGCTGCTGGGCCGCAGCTTGGTGCCTGGAATCGTAAATAGGCCATGAAGTAAAAAGTTTGCGGAACGCTAGTTTAAACCAACAGGACGGAAAGTGTGTACTTTTAAAAAAATCTAAGAGAGTAAGAGTTCGCTAATTAATAATTACAGTTAATTAAGAAATTATAAGATCCTTTTCAGTAGGAAATGAATTACAGGTGCCTATATAAAGTAAAGATGCAATAAAAAATCAGATATTCTTTAAAGACAGATTATTTCAAGGACAGATAAGTGGCAGTTAACACATTTCCAAGAATTAGAAAATATATAAGAACCAACTTCAGCAGAATTTCAGATGCGTCTACTAATGAAGTCATCTTTCAACAGGTGGTTTGATATATATATTATGTGCACTTTATTTACAACTTACTACACAGGTGAAAATTACCAACAGGTGGTAATATGATTAAATTCCATCATACCAAGAAACTAATACATGTGCCAAATTAGTACCATTTTGTAGGCACATTACAAAACATATCGGCCTTTGTCTCACCGCAAAATAAACTGAAATCAAATCAACTCAGACAGTGGCGAACCTGGAGGGGTGGAGGTACGCAGGAAGGGAATGCCCAAAAAAGTTTGTGCTTCAAATCGCCTGGCACACCTCCCCCACCCTCTCCCCCCCCCCAAATGGAAATGTTTAAAGCACAAAAAATCATTATAAAGTAGATAAAAATTACCTCATATTAACTAATTTGGCAAGCTAGCGCACCCCCCCCCC